CGAGGCGGCGATTGGAGCTAGTTGGCTGACAGTAGGTTTTACAAGAGACGGGGTCCATGTAGCAAAGGCATGACCATGAGACTTAGTCTGAGGCTTTAGCCTCTAATCAATCGCCCAGGTGCAAGGGATGGATGAATTACGCTTTGAATAGCAGAGATGGGGGCAGGGGTCGAGTGAAAAACATGTATCAGGGAAATAGCAGACGGATTCGGAGAGGGAGACTCTGATAGGACCCAGGGAAGGACTACGTAACAATATGACAGACTCTGGTCAACATTCTCAACAAAAGGGTGAAGGGACTGATTACGACACTGTGGAGTGTGAAGGGTTTTTATGAATGCCGCTCGAAGGAGCACACCACACTACATTAAAAATAGGCACAGTAAAAATTGTGACAGGGAATACATGATAGGAGGATATAGGAAATGTGAATAGGCCAGGGCAGAAGGGGAGATACCACAACAGTTTAGCACACGTTTGGTCAAAGGATGGGTTTCACTTGTCTCTTTGACGAGTTGTAATATGGTGCTACGAATGGCGAGACGCACTGACGATGCTGGCGAAACGTCTGGGAATGTACCACGTCCACGGTCCGATTTTGGAAATGATCATGCATACAATGGGCTCCAGATTAGGTGCGTTCCTCCAAGTCTTCCTACCAATATGACCCAGTTGCGAAAACAAGGTCAAAAAAATTCCATATCTTCACAAGTTGAAGGTATGACCTTATTGGCAAGAAGACGACAACCAGACTACTTGGTTAATGCCTTTATTTCTATAGTTTAGCACAACGAACATAATTTATAGACATGAAAATACGACTAGTCGTTTGCAATAGGGAGCAATTATATATATATATGATTTGAAAATTTAACATGATAGAAACGCATAAATCAAAAAGACGTCATAGTTATTCTATTTTCCGGCGTACAAGACGACTTTTCACACCATAAATTTCTGCTCCTAAATGGGGGGTCTTCTTATAAGCCGAGTGTAGTTTAGGGATCGCTAATTATGCTATGGTTCCGAGCTCCTGTTGTACCCCTTAGTTCAGTTTATAGCTTAGAAAACAAACAGTATGGCAGCTCCCATGCGTTTATTGTGTTATCCTTTCATTCAGCGGTACATGTTTGATGACATTCAGCCTTATGTTTATAAGTAACAGTTTTGCTGCTTTGAATTAAAATTACCATTCTGAAATCAAATCTGATGTTGTTATAAGTTTTATTTGGTTTGCGGAAGAGGGGGTAGTCTTATACAGCGAGTATATAACAAAATCTATATTTTAACTGGAAAAGTCAGGGGGTCGTCTTATACGCCCAGTCGTCTTATACGCCGGAAAATACGGTATTTACCTTTCATGAAATTTTTGTTAAGGCTAGTTGTAAAAAATAAGAGTGCTTGTTTAAGGCAGGTATTTTACTAGTCCGTGAGTCATTTCCCCTATTTCATTAGGCAGGTACTAAGTAATGAAGTAAGTAGGTTTGACTCCACGAAAAGTTGGATAGTCAAGCCTGCATAGATGCATATAAAGAAATTTGTAAGCTTGAGGTGGCATAATATATGCTGAGCACTCGCATCTACTCTGACCTGCTGGCTGGCAGGGATACTTGCACGGGCAAACCTCAGACTTCACTTCACTTGCACCATCTTCTTCACACGCCAGATCTTCTACATCAGAGAAGCGATTAACTGGTTGACGCATACAGCTTCGCTGGCGTCTTCTCATTAATGGCACTCGCAGTGACTCGATGGAATTGACCCTATTAGTCGAAGGCTCGGAGAGAGTGAAGATGATTTCAGATGTCGATAAAGGACAGGAAGTCGTCTCGGTCCAATTAGACCAAAGCAAAGCAGTGCGCTGATAAGCGGACCTATTGCGCTGCTCAGCTATAGCTACAATATGAAAGGAGATGCATTTTATCAATAAACGTTCCAATCAAGATAAAACCGATATGCGAAGCAGAAAAATAGAGATATTTATAAAATGTTTAAGATAAAAACAAAACATCAAGGTAAAGGCACACGAGATATAAAAGAGAGGAGAGGAAAAAGGAGCATGGCAAAGGACAGGGCAATATATGAGAGCAGTGGAGAGCAGAGGAAAGGAGACAATAGAGGATATTAGAGTGCAGTGACCGCAAGGAAACTATCAATTATAATTCTTACGTGGTCCGATTCCAGCAAGATCCGGTATTTGGGCCTTATATATCAGTCGCCATGCCAGCTCTGAATAAGTTGAGAAAAACACGTTTATATCCGTTTTCATACGTCAGTTTGGAGGGTACCGAATTTCACCCACATTTGGCGAACATGTTTGGACAATATGTGTGGAAAACAGAGATCTGGATACAAACTATTTATTATGCAAAGTCATATCCGAAAAGGTAAAGTTTGCCAGTTCCCAAATATATGGGAGCATTTTGGCTTATTTTATTTATCTCCTTGTCATATATTAGTTTTAAGCGTCATTTACGTTTGAGCAATCATTTCATTAAAATTTGAGCGCATTAGGGAGATTTTTATTTTGCCAATATTTCTAGTATTTAATTCTAATAGCCTCTATAGTAAGGCTTTTCTCTATTTCTTGGACAAATTATCAGTTGTATCATATAAGATGTATACATACATAATTCAAGGGTAACCTTAATCATTGTCGCAAAAAGTTGCCTTGAATCAGAGTGTTGAATTACAAAAGTAACTAATTTTT